GTGTGTAAGTTTTAAAAAAAAAAAAATGAGGTGTCCAGTGCTCAGTTCTTTGCCTTGAGATATTGTAAGGTCTAGCTGTGAGGAACTGTACAGCAACCCAGATGGAGGTAGAGACCTGTGAGAACACCCGTGTATCAGCGAGTTAAAGCCCGAGTGCACGAGAGGGTATTCCAGCACTCTTACCTTAGACATATATCTTGGAGAGAAACAAGTCCGGTCGTAATGTATTTATCTCATTCCATTGCCTGCATTATTCTTATCAATTCTAAGCACATTCTTTGAAGAACTGCAATTAAATTAAATTCCCCAAAATGTAGCATTTGCCGGCAGTAGCACACTGAGTACTGTCAGCTGGGATTTGTGAGAAGCCTCTCATCGAGCCTGCCCTTCTGAAAAGATTATTCCTGTTTGTGACTCTAGCTGGGAGTAGCCTCTGGGGAAGGCACGGGGCTGCCCTTGTGCCCACTCACGTGAACAGTGCCGGGCTGGAAGCTGGCTTTTTGTTTCTTCCCTTTCGATTTATAAGATTTGTCCATTACCTTCTCTCTTTCAGTGACTGAAATCCATTCCGTCGCTTAACATTACTCAAAATTTGCCTTAAAATGAAATGTACTTGTTATTGGGGTGTAGCTCTCGAAACACTAGGTTCAGGTCTTCAGGATACTAATGGTGGGATTCATCTGGTATATAGAAATTGCGTCTGGGAGTGGGTTATCAGGTTCACCTGAAGCAGTCGCCTTGATTGCGGGTCGAGCAGTCAAGATGAAGAGAACAATATTCTGACTCTGTAATCTCACCATGGTTTTTAGTTTGCTCATCTCCCTGATGCAGCAGGTAGTGCCTAATGAATAAGGCACGTACTATCAGCAATTGCACCTTCTAAACTATCTATCTCCAGTGCGAGATACAAAGGAAGCATTTTTCTGATGATAGAAGCTAGTGTTTGTTATCAGATGCTTTTCAGGACCCTACTTCATGGAGGAAAAAACCCCTGCAAAATGGTTCATTTTTTCTAATTTTGTCTAGAAAAAAATAATAATTGAGAAGCCTTGTCTCTTGAGATTGACAGAACACATCTGGAGGCAAAAGAAGCGTATATCATTCCAGAGCTTTATTTCTTCTTGCTGTAAGTTAAGTGCATTTTGCAATAGTGTTTATACCCATGGGGTCCAATTCAGAATGTTTTCTGGTAATATTTATCGTTTTTTCCCAAGAGCGTGACGCCAATGTCCCTGAAATTCATAGTGGAAGTAATTGTTCCAAGGAAAAAAAAAAAGGATTAAAAAAAAAAG